ATATGTTTGTTTGCAGGATATGGATATTAGCTTTCTGGAGGAAATGTTATGTTCATCTATTGCACTGAATAGGCTAGAACAGCCCAAAGGAAACGTTTGTACCTATGGAACAACACCTAAGGCAAAAGCCAATACCAAAGCCTGCAGTGTGAGCAGGCAGCCATGTGCCCCCAGCAGGGGTTGGTGCTGAGAGCATCTCTGTGTGATTTGACACCTGTACCTTTGGAATTGTGCAGTGACCAGAGATCAGTGTTTGCTCAATTAGATTTCTGCTGAGAAAAAAGGTCACCAACTTGTTTCTGAAGTGCTTCCTAAAATATAGGTTGTTTCCCTCTCTCAAGTATTACTTCCTTAGATACTAATATGATGTAAATCAGCACAGTTAAAACACTTCCTTGATTTCTGTTACCATGGATCTGGCCTGGTAAGTTTAAGGAACTGAAAGTAGGTGAGAGATGATGTTTTGTACCAATTTCCTTTGCACTTGTAATGTCAGACAAAGCCTTTGTTTATTATTTAGCTTCTGACAACCTGCTGAAGATTTCTAGTGACAATTTGAGTCTACAAGTTTATATGAATCTTTAGAGCTGCTGAAATTCTATGTTATGTGTTGAAACCCAGTCCCAGCCAGGGGCTTGAGGGTGCAGCTTGTTCCTGGGTGTGAGTGTTGCTTATGTGAAGGAAACAAAATCCTGTTGCTATGATGTGCTCCTGTGCTAAACAACTTCAGATACACAGTGTAAACAAATCTCCCACTAGCTTCTGTTCTCCAGACACGGAGCTTGTACTCTCAGATGAAGTCTTAGTTTTTTGAGTACAAGGACATTTTTCCTACCCAGCTCTTGGCAAGAGGCTGATCAATACCCGGAATGAAACTTGAGCAGTTGGCAACTTGGCTGCTTAAGCAGAGGCAGCCAGAGCTGTGCTCAGCTCAGGTATTTTTTGGTGAAGTGTCCAGTTGTGTTAAGTTTTGTGGTGTGTGGATTCACTGTGTATTACAAACTGCCAGAGGCAGCCCATGTTTCTGTTAGAAATGCAGCTCTGCTGTGAGCATATTGCAAAGTAAATATTTCATCCTTGTCCTTGTGCAGAGGAGCAGAAGCAGAGCTCGTTGGGCTGTTTACATTGTCCAAGCAGTGTGTATTTCACAGAGCCAGTATTGTAAGTGGAAGCTGGTAGAGCTCCCTTTGAAGCTTTATCATTGAGGAAGTATCTGTGCCCCTGGATAAAGATGTTTTTCTGCAAAGCCCCAAGCCCTCCACAAGTGCAGGTTTCCTTGGGCTGTGGTTTTTTCCCTCTGCCTTAGGTTGTGATCCCCTTGGAGAAGGGCTCTGTCCACTGCTCAGTGCCAAGTCTGAGAGCGTCTTTGTCCTTGTCTGGAAACCTTAAGTGCTACTGCAATAAAATTACATTGATGGATTCATTAAAAGGTATCCTCTCATAATAAACCACTTTCCAGAATTGAAAATAGCAGGTTGCATTGGCAGCACACGGGTTAGGATTAGCTCCACTCCCAGGCTGGTGATCTCTGTCACAAAACAGGACATGTGCCCGCAACCGTGTGGCAGCTGATGCGCCTCATCTCGGTGTCCCACCTTCAGGAGTCCATGAATATTGTATTAGAACCTGGAATATCTGCATAAATATTTACACTGGCACACTGAGTCTTCCAGCAGGTGACACTTGATCCCTTGGCTTTGTGTGTTTACCTTTCTCATTCCCTGATGTAGCTTTTGGATAAAGAGTGGGACGTAGGGGGGACGCAGCGTCCGGGAAGGTTGTGCCTCCGGTGCCAGGGCTGGTGGGTGCTCTGCCAGGAGGGTCCCTGGCTGCAGCTTGGCCTATCATTGCTGCTCTTTACTTGACTGAGGTTCCTGGAGGGGCCTTGTGTCAAACCTGGTCTGGAGAGAACACTCTAGAAAACCTGGAAGAAGGTTGGACTCTGTCAAATATGAATTCACTTGGAACTTTCTAAGGCAGGAGCTGGAATGGCCCTTTCAGACCTTTCCTTCCTGCTCCCAGGCCACAGGGAGGAAGAGGATTGTTTTTTGCAAGTCTTCAGAGGAGAAACAAAGTGTCTCCTTGTCATGTACTTGAGACTTTTAGATAAGGTTTTGTCAGTCGAGCCTGAACTGAACTAACTCAAACCTGAAAGCAAATTACAGAGTCTGCATAAATCCTCTTGGGCTCCCTGCATCCCTTTCCCACGCCTGCCGACGCCGCTCTAGCAGTGCCCAATATAAATGAAGTTCCCTGCTATTACAGTTGATGAAGAATATATTGCTTTCCAGATTGTCAGCTTCTGAAAAACTAATTTTTGTTTGCAATAAGCAATTTTCTTTTAGCTGTGTCCAAAGCACATCTTGGTCAGAATCATCGACACACAAATATTTCAGTAGATTGATTTGATATGTCATAAAGCTGTGTCCTCTTTTTCTATTATCTGTTTGTTTTTCTTCAGCTAGGTTTAAGATTCTGTACATTTTTCTGGCCTTTGTTTTAATCACTGTTTATGCAAGGGCAGTATAAATTTATATTCATCTTAAAGGTTGTTGCCTTTCATGTGACCTTAGGGGTGTTTGGAACAATGTCTCTCTGACCTTGAATTTATTTTCTGAACTTCATGCAACATGAGTAGCTTTTATATAATCAGGAAATAAAGAGGTACAGCCTCTTTAATTTCCCAATTTCCTTAAATTGTTCTGATGACATTTACTTATTATTAAAATAAAAAATGTGCAGTAGGGACAGATTTAATATCCCCACATTGCATATTGAGTGCTGGTCTGGTTGAAGAACAGAGGATGTGACTGAATTTTAGAGAACTGAAACTTACAGATCCTTGGCAGTCTCCAAGTCATTATACCAAACCAGGCCTGCTTTTACCACCCTGGAAAGGGTGATATTCCCACCCCTGTGGAGCTTTCTGGCACCAAGGTAATGCAGCCTTTCAGAGAACTCTCCAAATAAATGGGACTGAAGTGGAGGAGGGAGGTAGATCCCAGTTGTGCATGTGTTATGTATTGACAGAATGCACAGGGAGGCAGATCCAGGTGCTGGAGAAATGCAAAGTGCTTTAGTCTGCCCTGGTAACGAGTTGTGTGCCTGGCTGAGTTGGAGTCCCTGGTGGGTTATGGGGCTGTCCTAACTCTCATTGATTTAATAAACATGATACAAAAAGAGTCCCTGGGTGGTAAATATGATTGACCGTTTTGGATTCATAAAGCTGTGAACTTCATCTTGCAGAGAGAAGTTCCTCTAAGCATTTTTGCACCAAAGTAGGTCAATCTAATTATATTTGGCTTTAATGAGCACTACTCTGCAGTTCTTTACCTGTAGCTGTTTGGCACTCAGAAGTGCAAATGCCATTGCTGCCTTTGAAAAAAGCAATGAGAAATCAAAGAAATAATTTCTAATCTAATTCATTTCAACTTGAAAGCCTTGGTTATCTCCATGAGCTGGGGTAAACAGGCCAGCAGCAGCAGGACAAGCTGGAGCAGATGCAGGCAGCAGTGGTCAGCAGCTCTGGTGGTGGCCATGGGTTCAAGGTGAAATTCTGCTTTTGGTCTCACAATGGTTGCCTTCCAGAGGAGTTATTCCATTAAAGCCTGTAGGAGTTAGACTAGTTTGTTTGGAGTGGATTTTTTCTTGTGCCTCAGAAGACACTTAGGTAAAGCAGCAGTGAGGAGAGAGGAAAACACTAAGGAGAATTTGTCATCTTGGCTGTTCCGAAAACACATTTATGTACCTGTTTCCCCAGAGAGCAGAAAATCTAACACATCCAGAAATTGTACATCAGGGCAGTTGATCTTTATCTTTGGGATAGAGTGTTCACAAGTTCTGCTTTGGAGAAGGAAAATGGATGTGAAGGGGGTGTTAAGTATCTAGCTGGAGGGTACAGGACTGGGCTGTTCTCAGAGGATGCAGCTCTACAGCAGCTCCTTAACAAATGTCTCCCAATAGTTCCTGTGTGTTGAGCCTGCATGAGGAGCTGAAACCTTTCAGACCTGGGTGAGAAAAATCAAAGCAGCCTGAAGAGGCTGGTCTAGCCAAGGTTTTCTTTCCTTTTCACCCCCACCGGGTCTAATGGGATCTGTAGTGACACTGGTGATCACTACACCAGTGATCATCTGGTGATGGGAGCAAACCAGAGACTGAGAGGGAACATGGATGGCAAGACTGTATGAAAACCATCAGGTCTTCCCCCTGCTGGGAGGGGGTTTCAGGCCAGTGAGCAATGTTTGCCTGAAAGAATGTGGATGGGGAAAAAAGACCTGCTACTCTAAGAAGCTGTGGAGACTAGAGGGTTTGTTTTTTATTCCAAATAACTGTTCAAGAATGGTTCATTTGTTAAAGCCTTTGAACTGTGTCCTGCTCTGTGGAGTCAGAACAACGTTGTTTTCTGATCTCTTGCCATTCAGGTTTCATGCAGCCTTGTCCAGCCAGACTCATCTGGTGACTCAGCTCCTCATTATGTCCATTAGAGGTTTTGGCCTTTCAGAGTGATGAGGGCTGGTCTGCCCCTTATTTGTCTGCACAGCTCAGCCCTGATCTTCTGTCTCTTAAATGTAACTAAGGGTAAAAGATGGCCAGCCTTGGCATTTGTCCTTCTGATTGTTTGTGGCCTGTGAGCCCCTCATGCTTCAGGTACTGAGCACAGCAAGGTGCTGGATCCCTGAGTACACGGGGTGATTAATGAAGAGTGTTTTGGACTTTGTCGTGGGCTGTGAAAGGATGTCTGAGTGTGCAGCTGCTGCAATCCAGCTGTTTCCAGCCCGTGGTGTTTACAGCCAGAGGGAGCAGTGCCCAGGAGGTGGTATCTGGGGTCCAGTTCTGCAGGGAGGACAAACGTGCATCTCTAGATTTTACCTTTATCTATTCCCTGGACCCAAGAACCAAAAAGCAATTTGATGGAAAGAAGCCTGTGTGATCTGTTTGGGGGTAAATGTAACATGTATCCTACACCATCTGACTTGTACTTCTGTCTTTTCTCTCTCCAGCCCAGAACTGCAGCCACATCCTGCAGGGCCCAAACGGGACGATACAGAGTCCGGGCTTCCCATATGGATACCCCAATTATGCAAACTGCACGTGGACAATCACTGCTGAGGAGCAGAACAGGATACAGCTTGTTTTCCAGTCCTTTGCATTAGAGGAAGATTTTGATGTATTATCTGTCTACGATGGACTCCCTCAGCAGGGGAACCTGAGAACAAGGTATGTTGCTCACAACACTGATGTGTTTAACCATGTTCCTGTTCCTGCCGCTGGGATTAAATCTAGTTTGGAGGTTTATGCTGCAATAAACTGGGAGTGCTTCTTCATGAGCAGCTCTTACAGTTGTTTTGATCTCTTATCTCTGATAAGGTTTGAAATGTTTCTCTGAATGCCTGACAGTGATGATTTATCAAGAGTCATTCTAGGCATCCGGAGAAGTTAATTAGAAAATGGAGCAAGAGGAAAGCAGAGCAGAGGAGCTTCCCTCAATCCAAAAGAGATTCTCTGAGTGGGAGGATGGATAATGGGTTTCAGTTTATAGCTCTGTCAATGCTTGTGGGTGCATCTGGGTAATTCCTGAACTTGCAGTCTGTTCCCCAGCTGGACAGGGTGATGCTGCCACATCCCACGAAGCTGCTGGATATTGAGGGGTAAGGAGTTACCAAGTAATACACTTTATTATGAAGACTCTCCATGGATTCTGATCTCTGAGAGTTTCAGGTACCATCCTGGCATTAATAAAAAGTTAAATGAAAGGCGGATTTTGAAAAAAACAAGTAAAAAAGAAAAGTATTGTTGTGGTAGCAACTGTTCTATGACATGTCAGGCTTCTGCACTTGAAGGAGTCATGATCTTAGACCTTCCAGATCTGAAGCACAGATGAAATCAGCTTGGTGACTTGTGACATGGCTGCTCTTTCCTGCTGGGGTGTCTGATTGCAGCTGAAGTCTGACAGCAATTTATTCAGAAAGTAATAGAAACAGTGGCAGCATCCAGTGTTAGAGTCCCTAGTAAGAATGCTGGAGTCATGGACAGACTTGGAAATTAATTTTACTTCGAACCACTTTAGGGCAGATCCTCTGACCTCAATGTCTTGTCTAACTTGACTGGAAAATCTGAGTTAGAGAAATAGTGGTAAAAATCAGCTCTTTATGTAGATTTATTTCAGTTATGCAAATAAACCACATCTTCTTGCAACTGTGCTTGAGAATAATCTTAATTATGGCACCTCATCATTTAATGAGAGGGTAGCATAGTGCTTTGCTCTGGGTATTATGTAAAGGGTGTCTACATCTGGTATAAATTCTGCTCAGGAAGCTCTGTACGGTGAGGAGTCAGTGCCTGCTCTGGCCCTGAGAAGCCCCTGGCAAATTGTTCTGCTCTTCAGCAGTGCCAGATTTTCCTTTTGCCCTCTAGGCAAGTGTGGGAGGTTCTGCTAAAGAAGCAAAATCCATGGGTGGAAGGAATTCAGAATTAGGGTCATGGTGTAGTAAACTGGTAAGATGGCTCTAGACAAAGTTGCATCCAAGCATTGCTCTAAGCATGATAGGAGTAACAGAAAGGACACCTTCCTGCAGCAGACAGGAGCTACAGCTGGTACTGTCCTGCTGATGGGTAGCCCTGCAAATGGGAAAGGTGAGGAGACAAGTGGAAGGAAGCTCTTCATCACTGAACTGTGTGCACAGCTTGGGTAGAAGAGTGTGAGTGGTGGGATGAAACCAGAACAAAGCAATGTGAGAATGTTTGATCTGTAATGAGGAGATGGGGTGTTCAGGAAATGGGCTGTCAGTACAATGGAGGAAAGTGAAATGAATGGGGGGAAGGTCCTGAGCTTTCTGGAGCTCTGACAGCACTTACAGAGGGCTTACAAAAGTAAAAGAGATCTGGACTCTTGCGTGATGGATGTTTGCATTCTCCTCCTGGATGTTTCTAGATTAGCAACTTCAAAACCTGCAGCTGGCTCCTCTGTGCTCTTTGGTGTCTCACTTCTTTGTTTAGCTAATTATTTTTTTTTGGTTCATCAATCTCACCTCAAACTCTGTAGCTGTTGCCCAACGTCTTTTTCCCCAACCCCCCTTTATTCTTTTCCCTCCCTTTTTTCTTTTTTCCTGTGGCTATCAATTTTGTTTTTTCTCAGCCTGCTTTTCAGATGGTCTCAATTCATCACCCAGGTGCAGCACTGGAAGATGGATGACCCTGCGTCATTCATCAAAGCTGGTGCTGCCAGGAGGAGCCAAAATGAGCTGTAAGCAAGTGCAGAAGGAAAGGAAAAAAACAGACTTATGAAGGAAAGAAGGCAGCTGTTTTGTTCAGTGTGTCCCAGGCTGATCAACAAAGCAGTTAGCAGAGGAACTGCATCCCTGCCTGTGCCAGGTGGTGCTGAGCAGCAGCACTGCAGCAGGTCAGACCTACTTGACTGGCAGGAGAGGCTGGTGTTGATGACATGTTCTTGTGCTGAGGGTCGGAGAATGGTCACTGGCCTCAGGACCCTGCTCTTCACTGCAGCCTTCTATTCTTGAGAGCTTCCTTGCCCTGATGTCAGTGCCATGTCTGTGCATGTCTCAGAAGGGGTTAAGAGCTGTGGTCATGTGTGCTGGCAAGCACCCTGTTGCCTTGCAATTTAATGTGGTGTGAAAGTTCCCTAATAGAATGAGACCAGACTTAATCCAATGAGACATGTGCTAATAAACTGCTTTACTGTATATTAGGGAATCTGCCTTGTGTGTTTGTGATGAGTATGTGAATATTAAATGTGTTTCAGTGTCTTAATTTAGACACCCAGGGCTGTTGTCATCTTTCAGTGCCATGACTTTGCTTTGTTTGCTAAAAGCAGAGCTTGTTTCTGAGTCCTGGCTCTTTCAGCTCCTCTGAAACAATTTGTCTTTTTCCAGCACTGGCTTTCAGCAGGGACCATTGCAAAAGACTCTTGTTTGAAACCTGAGAGCAGTGGTGGCTGCAGATTTTTCTCTCCCTTGACTTGAGCAGGAAAGCTGAGTGTTTTTGGGAGTTCAGATGAGATTTGTAACTTCCCTTCAGTGCCTATCTCTGGCTTTCCCTTCTCCTCAGCAGTGTTTGTGCTCGTTACTTTCCCAAATGCTCATCCTTCAAGTTCCTAACTCTTCTGAACTGCCAGTGGGATCAGAGGGATGCATGTGGAGACCTGATCTGAAAACTGCAGTTACTCAATAATCGTCGTCTTGCAAATTCCCATTGAGCTTTGCTGATTGTGTCATTGTTCAGAGGATGCTCCAATCAGGTTACTCTCCTGATTGGTTTCCCACAGTGCTGGGCTTAGAAGCTCAGCAGAGACTTGACTAAAATTTGAATATTTGGAGTTATTTATGGAGCTGAGATTGCTATGGGGTTTGGGAGAGTCTGCACCTTTTTGTGTCAGACAGTTGTTACGTGACATAACCAGGCAGTGGTTGACAAGAAAGCCACATGATATCTTAAAGCTTTTTCATCTGATGATAGTACTTTGCAGGACACTTTTAATGTGAGAATCTTAAATTAGTTGCCAATTTCCTTATTTGAAGTTTCAGGCTTGCAATCAGATTCAGGAAAAATGTATTTACAATATATCTGGTAATTTCAGCTACCCAGTTCTGTTTGTCTGAAGGGAGCCATTGAATGACATTCAAAATAGGACTGGTCAATTTTAAAAATCAGATTTATTTATTTTTTTCTTTCCAAACATGTTTAAAGCAGCTTTGGAAAGGCCAAGGGGCAGAATATGCAATAATTTCTACCAGGAGAGACTGCTTAGGTGCTGAGCAATGCTGGGGGCACTTCTATGCCCTTACAGTCCCTGGGCCTCCCTTCCTGGGTGACCTGGGCAGGTGGTTGCCTGGTCTTCTGGTCTGCATTTCCTGTTCAAAAGAAATGGTTCAATGGTACCGAATTTATTTGGGTAAGAAAATGTTTGTTTGAGCCGGTGCAACAAGAAAAACGAGTATTGTAGCCAGAAGCTCAGTGGTGCAGTTTGCACTTGCACAGAGGTTACCAGGAGGTGTGAGTACACAGCTGGGAGGAACTGACCTATTCTGATGCCTACAGAGTGTGCAGGGTGAGGAAATGTTCACAAATCATTTACTGCACTTGCTTCATACTTAAAGCAAGGGAGAAGTCTCCACTGAGTGTGCTCTGCTCCATGGCACTGGGAGCAGCTTCCCTCCCAGCTGCTGCCTCACCAGTGGCTGCTGTTCCTGCAGGAGCTGCCCTGCCAGGGGCTGCAGGGGAGAGGGGAATTGCCACCAATCTCTGCTGTACCTGCAGTTAAAAGCTACATCATCTCTTTGGCCATATTTAATTGACTGAAAGATTAAGTGTTTTGTTTGAACTTAAATCTCTGTGATAGTAGTGATAAGCATTGAATTACCTGCTGGGGTGACCTATTTACAGATACAACAGGGATACCTGTACTTGCCTGCTTCTCTTTGATAACCTTTTAATTACTCTTAGACAACATGGACAGGGTGATTTGTACTTAATTACCAATCAAGTGAACAAAGCTTTTGATCTCAAAACCAGGAGGAGGAGAGGAGACACAGGGAACAGTGAAGGTGCCAGTTCTCCACACACGTTCTCCCTTGTAGAGATGCAAACCTGGGTTAAAACAACATTCTGGGGTTCTGGCTTTGCAGGTACTGGGCTTGCAGGGGGTCACTGCTGCTGAGGACATTCCTGGAGGATTTTGTGTTGAGTCACCTTTGGTCCTGTGACATGTTCCTGTGTAGCTGCCTCCCCTCTCTGAGGTGGCCACAGTTTCTTTTTACTAAGGATAAAGTAAATAAAGTGGAGGACCAACTCAATCTTTGTCATCTTCAGGGAACTTCAGAGTCCTACCACCGTTTTCCTCTTAGAAGAGTTTTTTGTCACTTCACATTAACTCCATGGGAAAAAAAAAAACCCACAACAAAAACCCACTTAAATTTGTTTTCTGCTTCACAGAATAAAAGACACTTTTTTTCCCCTAAGATGATAATTCTTAGGCTGCATTAGGACCTTTTGCCCATGGCCCCGTTGTTTTGTTCTGAGAGAATCTGAATATTTAAACTTTGTGTGTGAGATAATTGATGGAACTAGATCTGAAAGTCCAGGAAAGCTAATGGAGTTCCAGCAGCTGCATCTGGGGCTGCTCAGCTGGGGGGGCTGTGCTCAGGTGGGGGGCATCAGGGTGGGTGATGAAAGCTGATGATTAAATTGGGGTGGGAGCTTCT